CCTCATTTGTGGACAGCTGGCTGTGCACTGTATGCGACATAGGCTGACACATAAACAGAATGTTACCGATAGTTCTGTGGTGACTAGATGAAACTATGGTGCGAGGCAAACGCAATCAATCACACTGTGGGGTAACTTAAAGGAGTACATAACTAGGTAAACTTTGTCCAGTTGTCACTCTATTTCAACCTTGGTATAGTCGACCATTTAACAGAATAAAAACATTCACCATTCGGAACAACAGACGGGTCTCCTACTATCAAATCGATGAAAAGGAACTCGGCTTTCGGAGCTACATACTGCTAACTAATCCAGACTTTTATAACTCGAATGAAGGAGGTTCACCCGGCTTATTCATGGAAACGAAGAAAATTTTCTTGCACGAGAAGATCTATGGGCCCAGAGATGATACAAACGGAGTTATTGAAGTTGAGTATCATGCCTTTAGCTACCAATCTACATGCTATGGCGCATCTACAGTCAAGCTGTGTAGGTTCACAGCCCACATGGAACGGAATAGGGATTACTGACAACACTGCGTGCCACCAGGCTGTCAAAACAATTCAAAACAACACCGGCTACCGAGAAAACCCGATGATTTTTAAGACGCAGATAGCCAAATGGTGCTGGTGACACACTGGCTTCGAGTTTTCGCGGAAGTTGGTGCATAATCGTTCTGCTTTTGAGGAGGAGTAAACAGCAATAAACTGATAAGTTGGTAGCTATACAACGAGGTCCATCGCCACTGCACCGGCTGCTTGACTGTGTCCGGCAAAACTCAGATTAACGAGAACCTCCGCAACCGACAACCTTATATGGAACCCTGATATGATCCTACAAGCGAATTCAACCCAGGATAAAAAGCCGAAGAGCAGTATAAACTGCTTGAACCTTGTGGAGAATGTCTTGGCAGACTCAAACCCAGATAGGCATGATAGTCAGTAGTTACGCACGACTCAACGCCGTTCACAACTCTTCCGCACGGTCCTCTGAGTGAGAATATCTCAGCGGAAGCTTAGTGTGACTTGTGGGACTTCCCTCCCCCCCCTAAGATTACTTGCAACTTGGTTAGGTTCCATCGCCATATTCAAGTTAGCGAACTAGTGTGTCATCAGCTCAAGACCAGCCACCCTGAACAGTGCGGAAATTTATAAGACCATCTACAGAATGTCTTGCGGTCCCCTTTGAAACGCCAAATCGATTCGATCGAAGTCGACATGTGTTGCATCAACACTTGATAATGGTTGCTTGATGAACAGTGTAGCATTTCAGAATCTTACGGAAACTGTGGAAGCTGGAACGAGCGTGCGGATGATATAAGAATGAAAAACCTTGGGGGTTTACTTCTACACGCTGACGAAAATGAGTTAAATAAAATGGCTTTGAGTTAGCATTGGAATGAGTGATTGTGCCAGCACCGACCGGTTGAACACGAGTAAGAATATTCGGTAGAATACACGCAGTAATGAGGCCAAAACATGAGACGAAAACCACGTGAATTGTTCCAATTCGATTTATAAAATCAGTGGAACTACCCGTTTCGTGCTTCTTAGGCTTGTTGGTTAGGGCTAATTCTTAAACCTCAACAATCCTTACTTCCTAGCTGAATTGTGCTGTTACCTAGGTCCTGTTTGCTGTTTACATGCAACATGATCGGACACTACAATCCTGGATACGTACCGCTGGAGCCTGAAATAGTTATCAAATTTGTCTGTTTATTGGATTAGGAGTAAAATCTCCAAAGTCTTACCCACCGATGTGGTGGACTGGGTTGCCTCACATCAATTATTCAGCTGTCTGTGAGATTTTCTGCGCACCCCGACTACAAGCTGTCACCTTAGAGTGATGGCCGGACTTGAGTGTTGAAGTGATCCTCCAAGCTACGCTGGCTAGAACATTGTCCCTTAAGGTTCAGCCATTCCAGGAAGGCCAAAATGAAGCAAGCAAACATCAGCAAATCCCCGTACTCCAAGATGATCGTGCTGTCATGGTGTGGAAGTGTGGGGGGCAGTAAGATGTCTCCTCCAGCGAACCAGTATGTGCATATTTATGGAAGCGGCGATGCCGATTAATCCCGATGAAGGGCGGATTAGAAAAAATCAATCCTAAAAGCCGCACACGACGGTCGCCCGAGGGTTGACCACGGCCACCAGCATATTATTCAACAGGGTCGGGACACTTTTAAAATCAGGGTCTGGTATTGCTCAGAGGCACCTGCTGAGTGCAGCCTCACTAGAATTCCGACAGCTATAGTCCACTCCCTGAACCCTCGGGCTAGGCAAGCGTCCCACAACCAGGTGGGATCAGACTGTTGAGTCAATGGTTTCGGGAAGGGTCCCTCAATAAAACCCTGATATCTGTTACCTCGTGACTCAGACTTTTTAGTCGGGAGAAGTGGTGAGGTTCCCCCTAACAAAACCCTACATCATCTAACCGCATTGTGGGTCAGGCTTTTGAGTCAGAGGCACAGGATGGGATAACTCACACAAATCCGATTCTTCGGCCTGAGCAATCAGGAAGTAACATATACTCAAAAAGCCTAGGAGAAGCGGTTAATCTCCCTAATTTATCAGCCCCAACTCCAATTACTGCTTATGCCAATACAACCCCGAGTGTTTGTAGCTCTGTGATTTCAGTGTCGAATCATAGATCTTTATCCAGAAAAAATAACCTAACTAGGCACTATTAAAAGTAACACAGAAGCGGTCAATCAGAATCAGAATCTGTGACTAAAAAGCTAACCCGAAATTTGGTCGTTATCTCTGCATACAGCTCAACAAACTGTAGCAATAACTGTCAAAGACGCCTTTCATGGAGGACGCTCGACACTCTTGTAAGGATATCACTATTCTGGCTGGCGGTCAGAACGCCCGGTTAAAAAAGAAGGTACCATTCTACACAGGCTTATCATTACTCGTGGGACAGAAGCGTGGAAGTCAAGCACGCTTCCGTTCAGGTCGTGAATACAGTGACCACTCTTGACCTTGGGACAATTTCTCGGACACAGCCATAAATATACAAGCAATGGTTGTCCTTTTAGGTCTAGAAGCAGTGTTCGATTCGGGGCAACCACGCTGCCTTGTGGCGATTTCTTCACTTCCAACGGTATGCGGGAGATTTTCATCGCACTTCTCCAAACTTCTACCCCAACACCTTCAGGCAAATGAAAGTCTACGGAAAGTGCTCTTCTAAGCACAGCAACAAAAGCGGTGTTTGTTGGGACTGTCCTTTTCCTTTTAGCCTTGTAATCAAAGCAAATGTCGAAGCAATGTTCGCCATGTCATCTACCAAATGTGGAGCTTCCTTTAGTAGAAAACCCTAAAGGTTTGGAGTATGTGGATGACATTACGCTACTTAGTTCAACCAAGTACAAAATGCATCACACAATCTTAATAATGTTGCCATGCGTTTTGATACGCGCAGTGTATCTCTAGAGTGCAAAGCGTTATTGGTGTGTGTTCCACCAAAGCTGATCATGGCATCAGAACCACCAGGGATTGTGGACAGATTCGCCTATCTGGGTAGCTGTGTCGAATGGTAGCATATCCGACGGAGTGGATGCCAAAATTGATGAAGTTTATTCTGCTTTCCGTCAACTTGGACACCCTTGGGTTCAACATAACATTGGTTTGTAGGTAAAGGTTAGGGTCTACAACTCAAGCTTCCGCACAATTTGGCTTCACGGCTGAAGACAACAGAAGATTGCTTGTCTATTACCATTGGTGCCTTCGAAGCATTGCACATATACCATGAGAATATCAGATTAGCAACGCTGCAGTGTGACAAATGGATTTTGGCAACAAATCAGCTGCCTGTCCAGTTGGTAGGTCGATTCGGTTGCACTACCAGCGCTGGCTCAGCCACGTGCTCCATATGCCAGGCAATCGATCGCCAGACAGATTCCAACTAGAAGATACAACAAGATGGGCAGCTACAGAAATAGAGATAGAGCGCAAGAAACAAAACAAGGGGCCTTGGCTGCTCTAGTGGATGTCCACCGTGAGGTTCGGGCACCCGCCAACATGGCGATTTCATCCGACCAGTAATGTCTATTTCTTCATTGTTCTTGATGATTGAACCAGTGTTCTTTTTTACTTAAAAACGTTTTCCTGTACCCCCTCTTTCTTGCCCTACCCAGTGTTATAGGCTGCAGCGACTAGAGCAACCTTACATCCGTACACGATTGTCAAACTAAGCAGAACTTTTTTTATGAAGGAAACCACTTACAAAGTTGCTCAACACTCTCCAAAAACCTATTAAGTAGTTTCCTTTATGAAGCCATACTGAAATATTTCGAATATCGCACCAACTGAAACATGAGGAGGCCTTTGTGCAGCACAGTCACCTGAAGAATATCATAAAAGAGAGATTCATCTGAGTCTCCCGTGAAAACCACATTAATATGCAAATGACTATATTTGTCGGATTAAACAGAACTTTCATCGTGTTCCTCATTCAAAGGGCACAAAGACTAGGAATATGAGAAACTTTTAGGAAACATCACAGAAAGCACTTCTTCAATCAGCTAACAAAACACAAACCGCTTAGGATTCACTTGATAGGCTTCCCTGTGGTCTTTTCCCACGATGATTATGGTAAAATTGCGAAGATAACTTCAGAGTCATACTTTGTCGTCATTATTTGAGAGCTCTTTCTCCACCTTCCCACCATGCATGCTCGATACAGGGTCGATTGGCGGTCACTATTCATCGGTAGTGGCAAGTTCGGTGCATTTCCTTCAGTCAACATCAAGTAACAAACGGATCCGTTTGCGTATGAAACGAATACCACCAATCGGATGCGATTGGAGAGAGGTGACAGCGGAAACGGTTCATCTAACTGGAGATTAATTTCAGGGTGGATGAAAATGACGACCAAATTGTGATGATAATAACAGCCAATAATAATAATAATAACGAGATGGTAATACAGATGCATAGTACAAGCAGTTCGTACAAGCAGTTGGACAAATGAACCGAAGAATGGCATGTAAAACTAACCGCGTAGTCGCCATCGCCAGCTCGTCCTTGGTATTTCCCAAGTAGTCACCAATCGCCACACGGCTGAGACCTTTGCGAGTGAGCAGAAAGCGAGCTATAGTCTCGGGGGAGCAGTCGAGGAAACCACATTTAACCAGAAAGTCAATTCCTTTGACCGCGGATCTGAAACACGCGCAAACGTGCATAAACATACTGGTACTGGCCTGTTTGTGTTAATTAAGAAGGCGTGATACTATGATAAACACATAATTAACTACAATTCGATCAGGAAGTGGACTGCAATTTCAGTCCACTACTGTAAACAATAGCTTGCAGTTTTTTTTATAGATTTTAAACTAGTCTACGATGATAAGCAGTCGCTTCAAACTGATCATTATCAGGGATTAGTTCATAGTGTGTTTCTGTACCTTAGGGCACACTGTTTAAAGTGAAGACCACAAAACACCAGTTCAACTGCAGGATTTACTCGAACACGGTCTGTATGTCAAGATAAAATAGACCAGTCTGAAAAAGATGAGGACACTGACATTGGCAAGTATCGAATACGGTCAGACCGACACGGAAAGCGGGCATTTCACTGATATTCCATTCATGTGTTTCTTAGTCTGGTTGGATATACAAGCTGCTACGGCCTGTATACAACTACTACCACTACTACGATGGACTGGTATTTGTTTATGGATTCGATCTTGTATCGGTAGATCTCCGTGAGGGTTACGCCATACCTGGTTGGCTCCGCATTTGGACACGGTTTGGCCGATGTACACCCAGGAAAAACAGCAAGGGGACGAAGAGCAGAGACCATCAGAATATTCAACCAATAGCCACAAGGCTGAGACGTAAATGAATAATAAATAGCGAGTCAGTGTCGCTGCGCCCAATTGCTTTGGTAAGTTCGACTTCCGTTCCCTTGTTGTTGGGCCAATAACAACTACGCTGTGTGGTGGGTCAGGTTCGAGACAGCATCTGCCTCGCTCCATTTGTGAGCTAGGGTACGTTCTCGTGAATACTACCAAGACCCTAGAGAAAGTTCACGTGAACGTATAGGATAAAAGAAACTAACTCTGTGCAATTTATTACTCACCAAATCCAGTAATGATACAAAGCAGATTTCTATTTACCAGGACGCCACGGTTACTGTATGAAAAACAGTAAGCCGTTCGCCCGTCAAAAATCCCATCAGCTTCACACAATGGCGCTTAACCGGACAGCCACTAAAAAAATCACGAAAAAGTATGACCTTCAGAAAAGATATCACCGATGCGAAATTAGTGGTAGACTAGGCGTCGCCATGATAGCCCGACTATTTCAACTGACATTGGCTAGTTGCAAAATGAACAGCTAGAACATGGATCACGTGACAAGCAATTAGCCATTTAGTTACTCAAGGTAGAAGATCATGCAGGTGAACTTACTGTGGTCGAAATCATGAGCAAATCAAGGAACTGGTTAGGCTAAAATGATAACTAACTAACAATAAGATATGCAATGGAGGAGAACCAAACCATATGGGAAGAGGTCAAGAGATGTGAAGATAATCACTTGCAAAGCAAGACACTATTAACAAACGCCTAAAATGAATTTCTTGTTTGATAACCACTAACCGGGTGTGTACAGAAAGGTCACTTCATGCTTCATTAGTAATGACATTGGACAGACTTTCGTGATACGATACTTCTTGAGGTTGATGGAAATTTTTGAACAGCCTATCCCGGTTTCACCATTTCCGGTGCCCAATCCCCAAAGTTCAATCAACCAAGGGTTGGAGTTGGGTCTTCCGTTACCAATGGCAGTAATTAAGATCACTGTTATGTTTGGAGAAAGCATATTACTGTACTCCTCTCACATTCCTGACGCAGCGAACAGTATGACTACCTCACGACCTCACGATTATTCACAGTACGGGGATTCGGTGCCCTACTTCGGCCTGCTCCCCGTTGGCGTTCCTGGCAGAATTGAACCTTGAGGGAATGAGTTGCAGCCCGCATGATCCCTAAGGGCAGCACTGAAGTGTTACCACCATAAAAAAGATGACGGCTTTAGGTCGGGCATGACATCATCTTAATTCAGGGGTCATTAAAAACTTCAGAAGAGAGCAGAATTTCAGAAGCTAAGCACACAAAAAACGCAGTGTTCATCTGTTTTGGAGACAAATGTGTATGGGAGAGAAGAGCGCGCAGAAATAAGAAGACGGGTTTTCACAGTCTGAGAATGTGCGAAAACAAAGAATCACATTTAGGCTGCCTGAAAACCAGCGTGAAGTTAGACCGTAAACAAAAACTCTGAATGAAGCATTACTTCGGGCGTCTTGAACACCTTAATCGGGACAACACATTTCTTATTCAAGGTAGCTCAATTCCGTTGGCATGGTGCTGTCCTCCTTAACTATTACCGTAATAGTGCTCTGCGCTCAGATGAAGCCGGATGTTGTGAGGGATCGTTAACACAATTACAGGTGTCTCAACAATGATCATTAGGGGTGATCTAGTTGACGAAACGAATGCAACTGCATGCAAGTTCACGCGGAAGGTTTGGCAGATGCAGAGTGATGAGAATTTGCTCTGGTATCCTACAGAGACCAGTCAAAAAGGAACATGTGGAATAGAACGATACTGAACACTGCAATCAAGGTTTCAATGCAAAAAGGTTTAAAAGACATTCAAGGAATCAAAAGTCGTATGCTGGTGTCAAGTAGTCTGCACCTCGCGTTAATACTCAACAAAGAACGCTACAGGATACGAACGTTCAGTGATCTCATTATGATTTGTTTGAAAAAGGGAAGCTGACGGAAAAACTTGTTCGTGGAATGACACGGCGATAATAAACTAATCACCAGTCGAGCTACCGATTGTTCTTCTACGTTAAGCTCTTAGTCAACTGAATCCCAAAGCTTGCACCCACTTGCACAGGGCGCACAAGAATCTCGACTGTTAGCCTCGGTCATATCAGGTACAAACGGGCCTGTAACTATTTCAAATGTGCTGAATGACTACTGATATCACCCGATCCTGCTTCAGTACGGAGGATCCAGTAAGGGAACAATGGTATTACAATGCGATTCGGTCACCAAATGACTTGTCAGTCACTCTTATACTTAGGGTATTTTGATTATTGATTCTGTATTATAATCATTATTTTATCCATCCTACTTGGAAAAATAAGTTGGCTATGTTAAGAAGCAGATCAAATCCATCAAATGTGAAGTGGGATCAGCTTCTGGACACAGTTTCATCAACTTTTTAGGTTGAAATGGATGATGTACTTCAAGCATTGTTTTGGAATTGTTCGGACGGAGCCATTAAGGAGCAGACGGTGAGCAAGACCCTAACAAAGATAGTCAGTGAGGCAAACAAGATGCCTGTAAAAGTTAACGTCTGAATAGTTGTTACGTTCCATCTGATTCACACTGACTTTGGTCAGTTGAAGAATTCAGGAGGCATTGGCGGATTGAAGGGGAACATCGGAAGATTGCCTTCATAATACGTCCGGAGGCGAGCCGCTCGAAATAAAGGAACATCACGCCGATCGGGCAGATGCGCCAGAAACCAGCCACAATGCGAAACAAGATACACCCGATTGGTCGGAATATAAGTCAATCCTAATCGAGCATGTTTAGCTCGGCGCTTTTCCACCATCGCGAGAATTTTAGCTCGACCTCGTGTGTTGAAGGTCGCGGGTATGACACACCGAAGGTTGTCAGCAGGATTCGCCATAATGGATTGAATTGTCGGATGTTACCAGATGAATACCCGTTGTGTCCAGTCCGCTCCAAGTAGTCCTCATTAGGGTATGTTCAGCTCAGTTCCGTATTAGGTACTGCAACTTAGCCACAACCAGCTTCCAAGACCTTTCTAATATCGACAGCCAACGAACGTCGCAAGATAAAAACTACGCTTGTCTGCTTCAGGCTTGGTGGGACAATGCAAAGGATTTATTGGGCGCTGAGCTCGAGATAGCTCAGCCATAAAGGGTTGGGGCCTCGGACTGGGAAGTTAATGGTACGAACTCAATCCTGGCTTCTAGATCGCTCCTACCTTAGACCTCGTGCTTCGTTCCGAATGTACGGCAGCAATACAACGAAAAGATACCCCAGGTGAACTGAACATGTGTTGAGTAAGAATGTGTGGTCTCAAGATGGGTTATACCATGCAGGGCATATTGTGGGTGAAAACGGGCTTAAGAGAACATAAGAGCACAGGCTATAGCCAGCTGAATGATGTTGAAGATGTCATTAGATTAGGTGTGTTTCCTTTGTATAACCGACATCCCGACAAGAAACAAGCAGAGGTGGGAATCGAAAAAGATTGCACGTGATAAAACGACTGTGGATAAGGTGAAAGGAACAACAAAATTCCGTTAACGGCCGAACAACAAGGCTGACCATACACAAACGGAGTAAACGAACAAATCATCTACAGGCTGCTTATGTTAGCACAACGCAACGCAACTACTGAGGCAAGAGACCGCAAAAGCAAGTATGACACCGGTGAAAACATCAGGAATGAACTACGGCCAAGGCAATAGCCAATAACGATGTGAGAAATTACGCTCCACCGGATCACATAAGCCGGTAACTTAGGAACCTCCAGTGCTTACAGTTAATGCGAATACAAATTAGCCTCATGCCATCAATAACGGAATTTCCATTTAGTTAGAAGAGAGATTACCAACATTCGTAACTAGTAATCAAGACATTTTATTCAGCTTCTAGTCAATTCCATAAAAAATGGGCGGATGGACTAGACACACAGACTGTGCGGATCGGATAGTCTCGCGCAAAGCAGATATGACCTTTACGCCACTGTTATAACTGGGCGAATTCATGCCAACATCATCAAAGGTGAATGCTGAAAAGCAAAGAGCAGACGGGATAGAACTGTAGACAGACTGTAGTCTCGGTAACCTATTGGTCAAATGTCTATTTCGGGACTCCCACTGTCAGTTAGACCAACAGGGAAATATCGCAAAGGTAAGCTGCGCTAATGGCCTTTCGTTTCGGAACGGTACGAAAATCATAACAGATCAAGGATCGTGAAGTTCAGGATGATTTAAAAATTTACGAAGCACTGAGAAAAAGACCTTAATAACATTTGGAAAGCCTTAATGGGTAACATACGTATACATATGATCGACACGAAGTCACTGTATGCCCTCAACCAAGTTTGAAAGCAACATAGATTATCAACAGGACCAAATATCTATAAAAAGTTGGAATATGTCTCAGAAAGCCTCCTTAATCAGCTTTTGCGGACACTATCACCAGTTTGTAGCCCCTATGAGTAGACTCCATATCGAGTAAAGATAAATAAATAAATAGTTTGAGTGGGACGATATAGAGTGGACATCACGGACTCGTGTGTTCTGAAGATACCGAGTGCAGAGATATGACATTCGCCCACTTACAGCATGGAAAAGCGAAAATTCCCTCCCTCCTGAACACGATTTGGTGAGTCGACTAAATCCAAGCGATGCCAGGTAATCGCTATAGGGGGGTGGAGTTCATTTCTGATCACACTAGAATACCCTGTCGTAAACCTAAATATTTAGATGCAAGCGAAGAGAGTGTTAACTCGAGGCTCTCGCTTACACTTTTTTCAGTTGACTGTGTACCACGAAAGCTGTTTTGGTTTCCAGTTGGGTTGATAGTCAAGACAACCTAGTGTGTTTTTAAGGTCTGTTTTGGTTTCCAGTTGGGTTGATAGTCAAGACAACCTAGTGTGTTTTTAAGGTCGACAGGTTTTCATGGACCTCAGACGCGATATAATATAGGGACAGGGAAAATAATCGCAGAGTCCAAGCCGATGAGAAAACAACTGGACTGTCTATTCCCATACTACCCATGTCGTTCCATCTGTTCCTGCTTACAATGGGATAAATTTGCCTTGACTAATGGAATGTAAGAGATGGTGTGTGGCGAAAAGTAAAGGAAGGTTTAGAGATAGTTGTCGACGGATGTTCTTCTTAACAGAAAGTTAAACGGCACAGTATTGTGTACTTCCGATGGTAGGCGACGTGTCTGGAGTACAGCGCTATTATGTTGAACACTACTACGGAGAAAAAATCCCTCTCCCTCATACTGGTGGAAATGTCTAGCCTTAAAAGTTGTGAAGAGGCGATGTGCTTGGTTTTTTCCAACAAAATGGTCGACGCAACAAACTGATTTCTGGCTCCTGTGGTATTCTTTATGTCAGTATTCGAATGCGGCTTGTCTGACCCATACTAGATCAAATTAATATCTCCACACGACTTTACTGAATGAAATTGTACCCACAGATGCTCAGCACTTATATAAAAATCATGTATTTCGTCCAAGCATGACACGCAACAGTCAGCCATGCCAGTTTTTATAAGTCCCCGATCCAGATCGTTCTAATGCATTGCGTTCTCTTATTTGTCTATTCAGTAGTACTGTAACGAATTGCTGAACCACTACTAACTGGCTAACTAACTGCCAATCCATTCTGCCTTGGTTTCCCTTATATTTCATAGGTTGTTTACCTCACGGCTTTGGAAACCAGCAAGCGATGGTCCAACGCCGTGCATGCGCAACTGACGACCATAACAGGATATGTACAGAGCTGGTTAATGGGGGCGCCCAACCGACATGGGGGGCGAGATGGCCCAAGTGGTTAGAGCGCGAATTTACTGACCGGAAGGTCCGTGGTTCGAACCCGACCTCTGCCACTCGACTTCCCCTGTCTAGGCCTGGGCGACCTGGCAGTATCCCAGCCCTCATGCTTCCTCCGGGTGGCATAGCAGCTAGGCACCGGAAGGGTGTTACAGCTGAACAATTATTATTATTATTTCCAACCCACATGAGCAGAATAAACCCGTTGTCTTCTATAAAATTTGGCACAATATGCAACCCGTGCTTCTAAAAGGTAGGTTGCATGAAACAGCATGTGGCTATTAATACGTACCAGGGAGCTTGACAGAGTTGTGTCTCAGTCAACTGAACGAACCCAGAACAGGTAGCACGCCGGTCTATATTCAGGTCATGTTACAAAAATAGCGCTGATTGTAACCTGATCGGCTGCACCGACAAGTATGAGCTTGCACACACACACGAACACAAACACAGACTTGGTAGCCAGGGTGAATAAGCTTAGGGCTCAGATTGTTGAATTGAAACAAAGTGTGCTCGTATCTCAGTTTAATCCTACATTGCAATGGTCCGAACAGTCAGTCAACAAGATTTGAGCCCTGGAATGACTGAAGCCTTACAAACCTGTGGCTAGCGTTAAACCTAATGGGATAAGGTATTCCCTGAATAGAACATGCCACCTATGGAGGTGATACGTATCCAAAAAACAGCGGGTAAATGATACATTTGTGCTTTACGGTTCAGTTGAGATATAATAAAATGAAATGGATGAGAAATAGGAACCCGTTTAAAAAAGGTACAATCAGCCGAAAGACCTCATTTGAGCCCTATATTTATCGATAACTAACCAGCAAAGCTACGTCGTATTCACCTATTTCGTCAGGAACACCAGTATACATGCTGAGAGGTGTTAGCGCTTCATTTACTTTTGTCAGTCACACAAATATAATAGTTTACACTGGTGAGTGAATGGTACACTCGCAAGAGGTTAGAAACTCAAAGTCTCACTAGGGCATACGAGAGGATAGCGGCTTGGGTTAAGTGGCACCTTTGATGCGTACATTGCTGGTCCTTGTATTCAACAAAAAGTGTATGGTGCCACTGGATTTAAGGGAATGTTCCGATGACCTGATAAAAATCAATTGCGTGACGTGCTCAAAGATGTATCATTAAGTCAGTGAATCCAAGATCGACTTCGGCTATCACATAGTTCTTAGGAAACGCTTCGGAAAACGCTCAGAAACTTTATTCTGCTGCCTACTTATGTTACACAGCAACTTTAAGTTATTCCAGGTGATGCTGAGGTAGAATGGTTGAGCAGCCACTTGAAATACGTCTGAAACACAATCCCTTCGGTTGCACAAACCGGGATTAACCGACGGCTGGGCACATGATAGTCAAAGAGCGATTTCTATTTACTACTATACGCAGTATGAGCAAGTATAGAGCATGGTAATCATCTTGGGAGTTGTAACGCGCGAATACCACCAAATTCATCCGAGTGCAAGTTTGTGAATAGCGTATAATTGATGAACTGCTCTTCTTCAGCTGACTGGCATACAGTGACTCAAGGTAACCGTAATGTCACGGTCCATATTCGACAAACTTGTGTTCGGTGCCCAGGTGGTTCTGCTGCGCGGAGCACTTGTGTATGCTCAGGTTTATCATACATAAGTGAGGGAAGTTCCTCTGTGTTTCGCTAAAATATGGCATTGTTGACAAGTAACATTTGACCTCAAATGAGACCGCCAAGTTATAATTTGTATGAGATGAGCCTTGGACAGTTTTACTCCGTGAAATGTTCTTACTGGTTCCAAGCAGTAAGTCCATGAGGATCAAGGAATACGAACGATAGAACCGTTTACAAAAGAGGAGTGCATGACTCACTTGTTGAACATATTTAAACCGATGCGGTAAATCCGCTTTCTTCTTTTCTCTGCATTACGGGCCTGTTGTTTGATTATCTGCAGCGGTAAGGGTTGTAGCGAAGGGACTGAGTGCTGTCCATCAGATGGAAGCACTCGTGTGAGAGATTGTTGAGGTGCATGAGAAGCACGACACTGTGTCGGAACAAACAGGTGTGTATGCTTCATTTGCTCTATCGATAACCCGGTAAGTTGATGTTGTGCTACCGTCGACGAATTCCAACTATGTCCCGATGAACTGCAGTACGCGACGGATGTCGGGAGAGCTACCAGGACGGGTCTGGAAGCATTGTGGCAGGCAGTAGCTGAACTAGAATTGTGACCTGAAGGGTGATGAGTTGTGTGTCGAGAGCAAGTGCGAGAAGATAATCGCGACGAGTCCAGTGTAACTCCGTTTGTGAGCACTGGTCGCTTACCACTGACACTAGTGAAGGAATTGACATGATCGGCAGGAAACAGTCCAGCTGAGTGTGTACAAACCCCATTGCTTCTGGAGCACTTTGAGCACTGGCAAACACAACTGTCCTGTTGTGACGAGCAGGGCAATGCTGACGGTGACGGCTCTGATGGTTTGTTTGGGACGAATACGCTATGACAGTCACCCTGACTAGATAAAAGGCCCGGTGTGGTGGAGGAACCTTTCAAACCGGAATGTGAACGTTGACTAGAAGGCATGACCGAATCCCTACATGACTGTTCAAATCTGGGTTGGCTCCTACGTGTCAACGTGGGTGAAGATAGTTTACGAATCGGGCTAGTCCGGCGTCTTTGTATTTCGCATGAAAGTACAGCCGCGGTGGTTCTCGTTAGACAGCTGCACTGTGCGAAGTTACTGTTTGGAATAGTGTGGTTAGAATTAGTATCTCTGGCGACTAGGGGATATATGGCGGAGCAATTTGGACTAGTACGATGGTTGGAAAGGCGTGAACCAACAGAAAAATTAGTCTCATGGTCGCGACATAATTCCGCGTGACAATGATCGTGAACAATACCCTTGCAAGAGGACGAGGCAACCTGATTGTCTTCCGTAAGTGCTTTATCGTTTGACCTAGATGTACCACTATTATGAGAAGTCCGATCAAAAGAGATGACACCAGTGCTATCCGAGTTGGAGGAAACGCCACAGCTAAGTTGCTCTGTGGCTGCCTTCAGAGCCCAATCAACATAGGCTTGCTCAAGAACCAGATCTTCAAGACTTCCAGAAGACCTTGAGGATTGGTTTTCGCTTCGACGAAGATCGAATTTCACGGACGTTTGACGATCACTCGGTGGAGAGGAGGTTTGGTGCAACCCAGTTGCTGGAAGGATGGAATCATGGTCCTGGATTTTGCGTTTTGAACAGTTTTCCATGCAGAGACGGGCGTACTCCGTTCGTAACCGATAGTCACGGTAAACATTCTGGATAATGCGGGCCGCTCTCTGGGCCCTTAGTCGACCGCCGTAGCTGCGCTCGATCAATTCAACCTCCTTGGCCTGCAAGTCCTCACTCAGTTCGTAGCTTGCATTACCGAAATCAGCTCGCAGTGGGTGGATATTTGACAACGGCCCTACTTCCGTAAACGAATTTGGCGCAATGATAGAGTTCGTGGAGAGCGGACCAGCGCCGCCCCTCGGATCCACAACAGCAGCGCGAATCAGGTTGCCATCTTGATATGCAGAGTGGTTATTTGAAAAATACCGCCCCGTCTTTATCGTTCTGGGGGACTGTCGCTGAGTGGTCTGTTGACCATTGCAACTACATTGGTGACTGACAGATAGTTGATGGCAATTAGAAGGTTCGTTTAATCCTGACTCGGATAGGGTTTTATCTCCAGATTCGCCAGGAAATGAACCACTGCCGTAAAACAGCGAACGATCATGACAAACCCCATTGAATTGTACCGGTGTGTTTTCTGGACGTGAGGAGCAGTGAAGATTGTGTCTTGTACTCGTCCGACTTGAAGTGCTATGCAGTGGAAAAGTAGGACACATGAGGCGCTTTACATACATATTATATATATATATATGCTGTAAAAACATTACAGTTTTTTAAAACTGAAAAAAAGGAAAAACCGGGGGAGGGATTCAGTCATGTGCGAACCCGCTACAGAGAGCCTAGGTAACTACATGTCCAAAGCTTGGAGACAATTTGAGGTCTTGAGAATTGTGGAACACAAGGAGCCGAGACATTTCAAAAACGTTCGCAAACAGTAGTCAAACAGTCCGGGTAGACTCCTAGGCGTCCTCGAAAAATTACGTGTAAGTATTCACACTGTAAAGGCCCACTAGTCAGAACAACTCAACAAAAGGACTGGAGAGCGTCCTGTCTCTGGATTGACTGTAACGCATCCTGAATCGCTCTTTCAACCTTGTTTCACATTTCACATCTGTATTTGTCTGAGTAGATGTCACATAAACCACGCGTTTGCGAGTATTCGTGTTCCGAAGAACCTGATTCTACTCAGTAAAATAAGGTAAAGAAATACATACTGGCTAATTGGTGGACACAATTGTTCAAGACTGAGACGGAAAATTAGGAAAGGAAGGTAGGCATTAGAAACGCGAAGTTCGGAAAACATTGCAGAACACTGTTGCCGATGCCCCCGCGTCTACAATATGGAGAAAGTGACATTTTTTAGTAGAGTGAATCATGGAAAGGCTGATTAGGTCGATATTTTTTGGAAGCTAAGATTGACGACTTCAAAAGAACTTCATCCAAATCTTGCTAATTTCCGAAGCCTAAATCCTGCGAAAAGAGAGCAGAATTTACGGCCTTCGACGTTCAGCTACTACTCAATAGCGACGCGACTGGCTATCCGCACATAGCATGTAGTTCTGTGAACAACTGGATGAGTTGGGCACTCAAATCTATAACAGACTAATATAAAGTAACCAAGTAAACAAGAAGCTGAAAGTGACACGCACCATATCCCGGATTCGGCAAATGAAAAACGAGCTTTTCGTTCAAAGACAACTTCACCAGAACTCACACAAATGCTGCGCTCTCACTCAAATTCCAGAGTGCAATAAGTAGCATTCATAAGACCCAAATGTCAAACAATGGCGGGCCTGTTTCTAACGCTGTATATTCCTCACACCACACAATAATACGAAAAAGTGGTTGAGGGAAAGCAAGCTAAGCAAGGCTAATGAAGTCTCAATGACGGCGAAGTGGGAAGATCCACACTTAGGCCACTGAAGGAGGAGCCACCGAGGTTTAAATTGAAGGAAGCCACTACCCTTAGTCTTCAGAACGGTTCATACAGTAATGGTGCATCATCACAACCAACTGTCGCATCATCACTAGAACGGTAGAAGAAAAGCTTCGGCTGGGCGACTTGTGTGCCACGATAAGGGCAGGCATTTTATAAAAAACCTACCGGATCGTATTTTCATAGAATGGTGCCAATTATAAGTTCTCTTATACTCCGCTTCGCTCGTATAGACCGCACCTAACCGTTCGTTCAGCTGTAGCCTAATTACAAGTAAATTAAGTAGCTGACGAGTAGCAAGAAAAAACGCACGGTAAAATCTCCTCAAATTCCCAATAAGTATTGTTTTTGTTGTTCTATAAAAATAAGTGTTTATCAAAGCTTATCGTGACTAGTGGTTCATAATCACGGTTCGCTGAATGAAAAACACCAACTGTTAGCCTAAGTGGCGATGATGAAGACCAATGAACAAGTTTACCCTGTGCTAGTGAGCACGAATCACGGACATGAAAGACTACTGAATAGCTGGGGCAATCAACTCATAGAAAATTTTATTACACTCAGAATCTGTTTAAAAACACTTTGAACCTTCATTGTCCCAGCACAAGAAGCATTTTATGCGGTCCTTTTTACCACCTTCTCAGGAGAATCTTTCTGGGCCTTGCTAGAGTGAGGGAGTACTATGTTAAACCGGACGGGAGCATTCCCCTCTGGTTCAAAATCGATTAGCTGTAGCACCCTTTTGGTGTCTAATTGCCATGCCACCAGAACGAAGCACGAGGGCTGGGATACTGCCATGTTGCCCAAGCCTAGGCAGCGAAGTCGAGAGACAGAGGTCAGGTTCGAACCACTGACCTTCCGGTCAGTAAATTTGCGCTCTAACCACTGGGCCATCTCGCGCCTCTCTGATTCAAGCAGTATGAGGCTGTCCCGTAATGCGCAGTGAATAGCAATTTTCCCGGATACATTGATCACTTGATGCAGAAGAAAGTAGTGAATTAGGTCCTCAGACTTACAGACCTCCATTCCTTTTCACGTAGCCATCTAGAGCAGCGGGTTGGTGTCACACGACCTGCCAGAATCGCATTGGTCCAAAAAAACACGAAAACTCTTTGAAGTGGCTCTATGAATAATGCAGAAGAGCATTACGCTGCTTTCACTCAATACAATGCCTTCGAGTTGCATTACACAGGAAAAGTCCACCAGTTGTAGCAGCTTTTCGGTGCACAGCTGCCAAACACGGGGAACCCGAGGGCTGAGAGAGTGCCAGACTGTCCAAGCCCAGAAAGAACTAGAGCATGTATTGATAGTTTGAGTTTATAAAGACAGATTGGGGAAAACAAGAACTACCTATGATATTACGAAGAATACGGCTCAATAATTTTTTCGCCTAGGATATCTGGCCATAACAAATCCCCAAAACCGTTATACTTAAACTACTCGGGGTTGATGCCTGAATTATGCTGAGTTTCGCAATTTTGTTGTAAACACTACCCAAGCTACCGATATGCTTTTCTATGCAAAATCTTCCGGTGTTTCCTAGTTGTCACAAACTTATTGTGTAACAGATAAAAATTCAGATAAAAAACGACTCAGACCCTGAGCAAGACCATATGGGTATCTGAATCCAGACCAGTTATGAAAATCAAACATCGCGTTCAGTTAGGAGGCTTAAACCTTCGCCATCGATTCCCTTTGTACGTCCGCGTTTTCCGCTCTGGTGTAAACCCGTGAACAGAGTATTTTGACGCACCAGTTTCTCTCAGGCTTGTGAATAATCACCATTATCACGTGAGCTATTTCATAGACTGTTTCTTTTGGTTTAGCTTGTAGCAGTTTCGGAAGTACAGAAACACGTATCAATCGGGAAAAACTGCTTCTAGAAATGTTGGATTTCCACTCCGTTGCCACTGAACGGCTGAAAGGTTTTGCCCGCTTTCCTACAGGACCCAAAAAACAATAATATGACGGACCAATCGGATCAACGAAAGAAAACAAGTAAAAATAGGTTATTCGATCGAATAATCAATTGGAACGAAATTAGATGACAAAGCAAGAAGGAAACGGTCCAATCATAACGGAGGAACAGAACTGTCGAATTGGAACCGCTCAACGAACCAACCAGATAGAAAATGAGATCACAACGTAGCTCAGATTCCAAGCTGACTAACCAAATTACGCAAGTCACCTCGAGAATAACAACTCTCTTTAGTTAGATACTGTTTGGAAACTCCAGAATCAAGGGCAGAAGAGAAGGAATTCGCCCACTCAATCCAGCACTGACGATTTCACCTCAATTGGAGCTTAAACGTTTACAATCCGACTCCCAAGCTCCGCGAACAGACCAACGACCAAGCAATAGTACAATTTCCGCCAAACCATGAGGCAGTTGTGTGAAGTCGGTTCTGTTATGCCTAAACGTATAAAACGTAAACAAGACGAGCAACACTGTATCTATAAGCATTTGACATGACGGCTTATTACATGTGTTCCCCTTTAACCGGATGTTTTTTGTCCACCTGGAACACCAAAGAAAAGTGTTATGTGGAAAGGTGGTACTTAATGTGACAGTACCGTGTCGACAGTGCTTAGTTCGAAATGGCATTCGACCGTTTGTTGCTACTACAGATATGCATTACTGAGTTCTGCAAAATAGAACGTGGTTGACAAGGCAGGAGTGATGGCAATTAGAGCTGTATCTGATCCCGTGGCTCTGTTCAATGCGAGCAGACTGAATTTGTATGGTATAGCGACCAGCCCAGATTAACCCGTAGAGTGGGTTGAATGAAACTCCATGGACGATGTACACTTTATATTGAAACCAACACTTGAATGAAAGTGAACTGGAAATTCGACACTTTTTACCATGGAAAATTCAGGTCGCTACAGCTCAGTTCCTCATCCCTCATAGGCCCATTCGCTGCGCAAATGCCCTTTGGTCAACTATTTCAAAATGTCTGCTTACATGAGTCTAATTGAACGTACAAATCATTGATACACGAGATTTCGCTCACCAGTGAGGGGAAGTTTATAGTCATCGAGATTTTGTATTTTCATGAAGTGCTGGAAGGCCGAAAGGAACCGTAGGGTTGTTCCATCCTTGAGAATCACCAGCAGCGTAACTCTGAGCAATCAACTGGGTCTGAATCGGTGGTTAACTACCATAAAGTAAGCCTATAGTGTCCGCTGATCAAGTCATGCATCAAAACTACTTGCTGTGTAAAGCCACAAAGGAATCCAAATGCTAACGAATTCCCTGGGAGAATATTTCGCTCTGGCATAGCCACAAGTACAGCAGAACGCATTACTAAAAGGTGACCAAGTTGTGGAACAATGATGACAATCAATCGGCCTCGCAACGAAGTATGTTACATTTCTAGTCTCTAGTAAAAATGGTTCCAAAAGGGACATGTGTAACCCAGCAACCTAGCATGATTGGAACGAACACTGATGAAATAGATCAATTTGGTCTCGACGTAAAGCGAAATTTTGAAACAGCATTAATTTCAAGCTCCAACTTCAGCAAAGGCATCATAAAGTCAAGGATCATGAATGATCTAAGCTAGATGGGCCCAGCTGAAGGATTCCCTTTTCCAGGTAGATCGATTAGCCTCCAGCTTGAAAATGCTCTTCCTATTCTGCCCTGTTTCCTCTGCTCTGTTTCGAAAACATGAGGAAGTCAACAACGTAATCGCACGTTTCAACAGGTGCATTCTGGATCATGTTGGATGCACTTTGGTTGATAACAGTTCCATTTAACACGATCCACAGCGATAAGAACCTCAGAAATCATCGGCCCACTACATTTTAACTAACTTTCAATGTGATAGCTTAATGCGTACAGGTTGAATATATGCATACATACGTACGTAATAGTTCTTGCCATTTTTACATTACATATATGTATGGATGTATACAGTGGTGTATCGAAAAAGCTCCATGACATTTTTCGAACATATAAGCCAATATTCGGGTTCGAACGTAAGTATAATTAATCGAGCATAACTGTGGTGTAGCCAAATAAACCTATGCAGGTAAAATTGGGACGTGATAGGAAATAACATAGGCTATGCTCATTTTGACGAAAATATAGAGTAGTCCATTTGAATATCATTTGTGTGTGAATCACAAAAAGGATAGATGTAGCAAAAATTGAGTTTGACTGCAATTGAAGAATTACACTCGTATGCAAATTACCTTCGTATTAACGGAATTCACATGCATCTTTCGTTTAGGGTATTCCTCAATTGCACGTGCTGTACGGAGACCACTTCATATTGCGGTATGCATGATATCGGAGATATTTCGACAACTGCATACAATATGAATTTGATTTTGCGAGAGACTCACCTGGAACCCAGCTGAACCTCTCGTTTATGATGAAACACCATAAACTGGAGATTCAGCTAGTTTCCAAGTGAGTCTCTCGCAAAACCAATTTTTTATTATGATGAGTGCATTCCGCTAATTTCGTGCGACTTGAGTTCAATTATAACATAAGGTTGATGAAAACTCAAGGACTGTGTCTACCTGAGGAGCCTCAAGGGTGAAACCGGTCGTGGGTTGTCGAAGAGTTTTCAGCAACTTTATGAGTAGTGTATTAAGTCTATGGGAAACAGAAAGTTCACAAACCGTAGATAAAAGCTAAACAGATAGTACGTTAGGTTAGTATGTCTACACGCAACGACCGGCAGCGAATGAGCTCATGGTCGTTAACTTACTGTCAGTCACGTGACCAAGGTTACACTACCCTGACCTTTTGACCGTTCACTCCTCACCAAAACAGCTGTTTCATCGAGCACAACTATACGTCCAGTGTAGGTCATTTTACTACGATGACTGTGAGGTAACAAAGCTGGTACTGTCTAGCAAGTGTCAAAATGGTGTTTTATTGGTAATGGAGGGAAATGACTGACTACAGAATGAGTAGGAAAGTCGAGAAATCAAGGTCCTATTCCGACCCTTGATTAGTGCATCGCATAGGAAGCGCACTATCTATAATATGGTTGTCCTATACAGTCGATACGGAGACGATTTGAACAATGTCTTCCCTAATTCCAAAAAACGACTTACGTTGCACAAATATCAGACAGCGCCAACAGGCAAGAAGGGTTCAAAATAAGGAGGAACCAACAATTTTGGGAACGATAACTCGGAATGGAAAAAGGCGTCACGGGAAAAAAAGCTGCGGACTGTGAACTAGATTAAAAAGATCGCCTATGGACGATCTGTTTTCTAAGTCACAAATGAGAGCTTTTGGATGGATCTACATGGGTACGACAATGACGGCTTCATTGGAAGCTAATGAGTACTTGCAACAACAAAGAGACGCCGGAAAATTAACAGTAGAATATCGATGTGGTTCGGTAGGAATTCAGCCTTACTTGGAACTGAATAACTGTTCATGATCGTGATAGTCGCTTAAAATCTCGTAGCTTTCACGGTGGTTTCTTCTACTTGTTAGCCAAATTTTTTAATCAACGGATCCAATTACAGACGTTGAGGTCACATATGAGAACGAACAATGGTGCTCAAGGCCGGTGATGCTCGCAAGGACGTCTATGAAAGCATCATTTAGTTGTTGACCGCTGTTACAGAGTGTACACACCGTATGAATAACAGGTGAAGGTCTTAGAGGTAAGACCAGCTCAAGGCAAGCTGTTAAAACGGTAATCAGAAATGTAAAAACCGCATTTATAAACCTGCCATACTTGGGCGTTTCAACATGGATAAAGCGAACATGTGAATGAATGACAATGTCCTCTTTATTGGACGTGAAGTGTGTGATTAATTTTAAACGCATCTAGTTGAAACATTTTCTCACTGATAAATGACAAGACTGAGGGATTTAGTCAAACATCGTAGTTAATAATCCCACGCAATCTTATGTCCAGTGGTGATGTCACATTTAGTGCAAGCGAATACTTAGAGAATGATGGCCCCACCTATACGGCATGAGGGTGTCAGTGTACGTACATATCACACTGAACGTTTCACAAATCACGGTAGAGACCTGGTGCACTGCCTCTTAGTAGTCCTATGTTCAAGGGCAATCGTGTTGTCAGTACACAAAAATCCTCAACGTTTCATTTGAGACAATGATGTTATGTACTCTCGTCGCTCACACCTGGAGCAGATGACACAATACAAGTTTCACAGACAATTTGGCTGCATCTATGTGCACATCCCACTTGCTTTGGGCTATTTGCTTGCTTGCTTACGACACGCGGATGGAACAATAATCCTTTAGACGCGAGTCTGTAACCAGTCTCGTTAGTGTTGTGTTTAGACAGAGCGCATAGTCCTCATCTGTCATGCATAACTAAATCCACCATTCCTGAAATTGGATATGGGGCAGATGCGCGAGCCAGAATAAACCGCTCACAGTTGGTAACCCGATGACGAGAACCTTTTGATTCGCGTACGTATTTATTGTGACCGTCCAAGGACAGCAAACATTGGCTGACATGTAAATGCGATTTTCAACTCGACATTCGTCCGCTGGAGACTGCTCCATAGTCTAAATGCAACTTCCAATTCAAATGCTCTGTTAGTACTCAACAGTGTGCCCACCCTATGACATACCGTACTGTGTGACTAATAGACTAGTGACATACTCACAAATGTCCTAGGGTATCCTTATATCACCTTCCTTCGTACCTGTGAACAGATTCATCAGAGATGAAGTCAACTAGAAACACACGAAAATTAACAAGATTTCAAGCGATTATCATAAACCATAGAGCAGTTTTTACGGTCCACGTATGGCCGATCGTCCTGCAGGATCACCCGGCCGTTCGAGTGGCAGACGAGGGAACCGAACCATTCTAATCAAGCGAAATAATCATTTGCAAACAAATTTGGTTTGGCGAGAGACTCAGCCGGAACCCAGCTGAATGCAGCACATTCAGTTGAATACTGTAGCAACTGAAACATGAGGCGGCCTGGTGCAGCACATTCAGTTGCATGGAAACATCACAAACGACAGATTCTGCTGAGTTCCAGCTGAGTGTATTTCGCTAATTTCGTGCGATTTGGTTTCAAGTGCAACATAAGGTTGACGGGAACTTGGGGACTGTGCCTACCTGATGAGCCCCAAGAAGGGCGAAACTGGTCGTGGGCTGTCGAGGAATTTTCAGCAACCTTATGAGTAGTGCACTACGAATTTACACTCTAATCAAGCTTCTCGTGGTCCATGTATTGATAATGATAATGATAATGACGTAGAAACCCGTACATTGTCAATGTGCACTGCTCTCAGACGTGTACAGCTTGGGAGGAAATTACCCCAACGCCACAATTCTGGCGTCGATGCCCAGAAAGCGACCATTATACTCACAGACGGATACCGAATTCAGGCGTTTTTCATGTACTACCAGAGTTTCTCTCAGCTTTCAAGTACAGTTTCAGCCATTCATCTATCATCTGTGACTGTCAAGAAACTCTACAAATGGATGTTTCATCATTTTATGTCAATTTAACACTCTCCTGGTGGCCTGTACCAATTAAAGAGGAAGCTCGTCGTTCATAACATTTATGCTCCGGTTCCCGACACTGTTTGCAGTCCTTCTTCACTGAAAACAGTGGAGCACTCACTCTTGACTGGTGCGTCTTCCATGGAAAGATCCCAAAGGAAAGCTGTTGAGCTGCCCTGATCGTTCTGGTTGGAAAGTTGACACACTGAATGGGTTTGGAGAAAAGCGACCCCTATTTCCTCTTTAGTATGAATCAGACAGCAGGATAATTTTAAAACAAACAGCCTCTTTAGAGGGCTGTGACCTGTCTATCTTAAACTTAGTCGGTCAAATCGAATTCAACTGGTTAAGCGTGGTGTCCTCATAGTGCATAGGTGCCCTGGAGTACGAACTAACCATTTCTAAATATTATACACTACTCATAAGGTTGTTGAAAATTCTGACAGCCACCGACTGGTTTTACTCTTCTTGGGGCTCATCAGGTAGGGGCAATCCCCGAGTTTTCGTCAACCTTATGTTTTACTTGGACCCAAATTGCACGAGATTAGCGAAATACACTAATTTGCATACCAGTTTGGCAGTACGTCTATATAATGTATTGAACGTCGTGTCAGCTGACAGAGTCTGATAGAGCATATTCAGTTGCTTAAAAACGAGACCCAACTGGGTCCCAGGCAAGTCTCCCGTCAAAACCAAATTGTTATGCAAATTAGTGTATTTCGCTAGAAAGAGCTCGTTAGGCACACGGATCCACCATTTTAGTAAAACCCACTTTTTTATTATGTAACTGACTCACCAATTTGGCTTAATCTCTGAATCTCTATCAAACTGATTAGCGGATTGGATGCCCGGAAATTAGGATGGTTTTCACGGGAGGCTCAAATGAATTTCAGCTGAAGGTCACATCTATGATGTACCTCGATTAATGTGGTACATAACAAAATGCTCATACATTCGTGACTAAATTATGTCTAAATGAACAGTGAGGATGAACGCTTACTCTATTGTAGACATGTGTGTGGTTTGTCCATCAGAAGTACGGCTGAAACAATAGGCATCGCAGTTCCCTGAGTTGGACGGATTACACTGATCTGCTTGTACACGGGTAGGAGAAAAAGTCCGTATAGAGTTTTGTCCATCAGAGGCATTAATTGCCAAACACGTGCCACAATTTGCCTGTGAAGAATGTGCGGATAAAACGCGCGACTGGTGCATAAAGGGTACAGTATTCGTTTAAAAATCCCAGGTCCCAAGGATATGTCCACAACCACCCATACCGCCCGGACGGAGGAATCGCATCTGCCGCCTGAACGGACGGCTGTAGGTGACCATTGAGTGAATCACTCGATGATTGGTCACAAGCAAACGCGCCACTCACCTTGAAGTAATTCGCAGAAAGTTTATTGGCTAAGAGATTATTGATCTCAGCTGCAGGCCAGCCTCATCGGCGAATGGCCGTGCCGCGGTAGGACAAGGCGAGAGGTGCCTTGCTCACAAATGACGACCACGTGCGCGAATGACTGGGCTTGCGCGAAGATCGGACGGCCGATAGCCAGGACGAAAATGGGCGAGTGATGAAACGGCAGCTGTTCGCCCGGCCCCTGTGCTGCTGGCTTGTTCTGTTAAGCAGCAGTGGGCTTTTACCATCGATAACTGTGATGTGAATAAGCCCCAATCGGTGATTCACTATTTCACACGTTCAAATCTGTTTAGATGAAAACCCATTTCGCCAGTGGGGTCCACTGCAGCAACTTCGTCATGCTGGAAGAAAATATGGGTTATTGATAGAGTTCCGCAAATCACAAATGTGTCTACTAGTCAAAAAGTCACCACTGATTCCGTCTTTGTCCAGGTGATGAACCTCAGTAAGGACTGAAGGCCTTGTGTGCCTGATCTTTCCTTTTTTACTAAAGAAACTCGAACCAATCAGTTTGGAAGTCTACGCATCGTGTCAGGCCTAATAACCTACTCAACATTAGTAAACATGAAATTATTTTCGGTTTGGAATAATACACACAGGTACTAAGTTGTTGTACCTCTTTTTCAGAACACAGTCAAATTTTTATAGCACTGACAAATGGGCTGTTAGCTACTTCATTGGAAATAAGCGTCGACATCCGATTTTTCCGGATGAATTGAGAAACTGTGCGAGTTCGATTGTGTGACCTGACCGGATATCCTGATCTCGTTGCAAACAACACTAGGTTGGGCGTGAATTGTCCCGCGGTTTATAGTATCACTTGAATTATTCATTGAGGTGACCTGTCCTAAGTTACCGACAAAACACTCTACTTAGTCTCATATAACACTGCCCTTTGTATTTCGTTCACGTGAATTGATCGCTTTTGTTAGTGAAAACAACTCATATACCATGATAATGGAAGGGCAGTTCGTCATGGCAAAATCGTTTAAGGAGTGACTCAGTAAGAAAAGTTCGCAGTGCAAGACTAAGCACACCTAATTGAGGGTAGATCTCATGTAATTCCTTGTTCTCAGTAATTTTACTGCCATCAGCTAAGGGAGTCTTTCACTAGGTGATTCATGAGTCTAAAGATACGGTTCGAAGATGAATCAGTTTAGTACTAAACGTTTCCTGCTGTCCTGATCACGACCTTAACTCCCCATAACCACGATATTTATAGAAAACCATCCACTCAAATATTCTGTAGATTGTTTACAATGGTATTGAAGAATATCATCAACTTATAGGCAAAATATTCTCATCAAATGTGGGACAGCCTACAAGAGAATTCAACTCGGATGCGCTATTTCAAATTATCCAGTTCCAAAATTTTCAAACACGTCGAACGAGACCTCTTTGATTTATCCGGCGTCAGTTTAGACAGAAAAGGTGCTTCGGAGAGGGCATTCAGAGTAAACAGACATTCGCTAATATGAGGAAGAAAGTTGGTTGAGGGAGGGAGTACTTTTCGGAGGGAGAATTATCAAAGCTTCCCAGTGTGCACAATTGATTCAGTGCCCATCAGGAGGGTTGTCACCGAATCCATCAATTGAGAAATCACTCATACATTTTCATGCATCCATCAATGTGCGACCGAAAGGTGCTCCTCCATTTAGAATGCAAACAGTGGGGAAGTGCTCATGACCATCAGATGAAATTGTTGGTGCTCTAGTTGTGACACAAGGTAACAGAATTCATCAGAAATGAACGTAATCTGTAAACCTATATAGCAATGTCCGTTTGCAATATATATATATATATATATATATATATATATACCACTATGAGCTGTGGAACTACTCCTGGGGAGATCAGGCCATATTTTCTCATACCTGGCGGACTGGACCAGTTGTAATGCATACAGTTTTCTTTCCTCTCGATTGCTATAAATTAAGGCACACCTGAGATCCTACTAGCCTGAAACCAAATATCTAATAGCAAGTGTTGGGGGAGAATGATAAACTTTCGGCTGTCTGATTGTCTAGGCCTGGGTTGACTACTGTCATTCGTATGGAGGTGCGAACACCATATCGTGGAAACACCATCATTAGGACTGCAAAGTGCCCTAAGGTTTGGGAGCTTCAGTTTGGACGATTGTTCCTCTTATATGACCGATTCGTCAGCGAATCCACATTCCAGTGGGGATTACGTCGTGTGAATGAAGTCAGTCTACGCTGAAAAGCTGAAAAGCTCTTGTTGGAAATCATCGGCAGTGCGCATCTCAGAAACCTCGAGAGTTTCGAACCTCCAACATTCCGGTTATTGGGAAAACTTAACCGTTTTGCAACGAGTGGCTGATCAGCCGCATGTTTCGCTCTTCCTTGGACAGGGTATATGATCACTCATCCTTCGATAACGGAAACCTCATCACATAGTCCAGTTTTAACTAGGTTCTCGAGCGACGACCTCTTAGAAGGAGGTCACATACATCCATTGAAATTATCCCTCCTCTGAGCTGTGTATTGATTTATGGTTATGTGGAGAGATCTGGTCATATCTAGTGAAAATCTCATCCTGTCAGTGAATCGATATTTTTCTGGCAGGTAATGGTGAATATTAGTTAATTTTTGATGGAGTCTACCTTACGACAAGTTAGCCTATTAAAACGGAGTTGTTGCACAGGCCACTTCACCTTCCTAATCAAATCGCTGATCGTGCTAGATAGCCATGAAGGACATAGGTCTCACAGTTTTTTCTCAGCAGTAACTGCAGGATAAAGACGTCTGCCTGACACTGTTGATCCACTGATGTACCCACTTAATGTAGTGAAAATCCAGAACCCGACACCAATAGCTGTATCTGCGCACACATCCAGGTTGGTGAGTCATTGTGGTGTCTCATCCAAGCAAAAGTTGCAACGGCCTAGTTCCCGGAGCATGGTTGTCCTCGAAGCTCTCTTGTCACCACAAAATTTGTTTATACCAACAATGCGTTGACAGCACGGAATACTGATGAATCAGCATGATGACTTAAGCAATGAAAAGCCTATCTCACCAAACCCCACAACCGTTGACCGTGTCCCACGCATAAAGCTAGAAATGGTGCTTTTTTCCGGCCTGCGACTCAAATATCGCCTTTGAATCCACCTTGGTTCACTTAAAGTGATTCGATCGAAGTTGTGCTTGTTCGTATCTTCACAGGGGAGTTGTATTCTCAAAGAGAAAACTAGTTCTGTATTGACAGGACTGGCTGTAGCTCTCAGAGCATCAGAGTTATCCCCTGGACCCTGAAATACTGGAGAAAAAACCTGAGTTCTCAAGCATAGTCTTCTTCCGCACAACAACAGGAACGTGAACGAATCGTCGTACAAAAATTTATCAGGAGCCACAGTAGAATATTTGAAACACAGGTCATCCTGGACAGCGGAGGTACCACAGATATAGATATTAGCGTAAGAATAAGTTGTTTTAGGAAAGTCCGACCCTGACTTCCGAACACCCGATTGGATCTCCTCATGCCATACTTTCTTTGGATGAATTGGCGATTCACATTTTGCGCCTGTAGATTAAAACTGGGAAAATCGCGCGCTTGTGTAGGTTATTTCGAATATCTCAGTGGTTCCGTTTTCTATTGGTCTACTGAGTAGGTGTCTGTTCAAATTCAGAAGATGGCTATTGTGAGACTCGTAGCAGACGGTCGGTCACTTCAAAACTGCGCAACCCATATTTCGGTTTACAACGATAAGAGACGATTGAGAAGCTCAGGGTGAAAACTTAAATTCGTGAGCTGGGAGGAATTCAGGAAGAATCTCGTCCAAGGATCAGAGAATGTTTGTTTGCCATATCGATCGCTACTCTCCCCACCTTGTGTTTGAAGCGAGCGATATTCATGCTGATAAAAAACAAATCAGGATCAATATAGCCTTCGGCCAAAAGCGTGGAGGTGTGCACCGAACAAGAAAGGTCTTTATTAACTGGTTTAAATTGTTCATCTACAATCTAGCCACTATCTCGCAAACAGTAGACGTGGAATTTATACTGAGCTAAATTTTTCCGTGTAGACTGGCGTCAGTTTTTTACATCATGCACACCGTTCAGTCCACCGGAACAACCGTTTCCGTTTAGTGTTTTCAGCCTAAATAGTGCGCAGACTCAGCCGTAGAATGTTGCTTAAATCCCACCATAAGTAGGTGAGATTCCGTTTCAGATAAAGGCGCACTGAAGTTAGCAGAGGAAAATAAGGTCTAACTTAAATAAACGGACAGGCAAGTTACATTCAAATTGAGTTGGCATTCGCTGGGGACCCAACTAAACCTCAGTCCACTCTATCGTTTATGATATTCCTTGACTAAACGTGCTGTAAAAAGATGAATTCATGTTTCAGTTGGCACGGCATTCGAGAGTTTGCGGTAGGTTCACCCAATAGAACGCACTACTCACAAGGTATCTGAAGAGCCTTTGGGAATCCATGACGGCTTCCGACCTTCTTGGGGCTCATCAGATAGATTGCAGCACATTAAAAGAGGGACTACTTTGAGTCTTTTGTTAACATCGAATTAATGTTCAGATTAGTGTATTTTGCGATCTGGTCCTACTCGATTTTCAAGTATACCATGGGCCTGAGGGGCACTTGAGGACTGCGCCTACTTGGTGAACCCCAAAAGAAGAGCAAAGCAGGTCGTGGAGTATCGGAGAGTTTTCAACAAACTTGTGAGTAACCTACTCCTCCGAGAAAATGGACAGGCTATTTTTAAAATATCGGAAGGCTTTTCTGATCCAACGACCTTACGGACAGGTGCGATAAATGAGAAAATAGTATAGTCCTGGGTCTCATTTATGGCAATAGGGAAAAAAGTATCGCCACC